TTATGTACAGGCACTGGTAAGCATGAACACTTTATATGCATTAATTCATTCAACCTCTACAACGTCACTAAGAGGTAAAGTTATTTCAGTTTTATAGACAAGCAGACGTAGATCATCACCTTACCAAAGCCACGCAATGAGTCACGGAGCTGGAACTTGCTGGCTGGACTCCAAAGCTTGGGTTCTTACCAGCCACGCCCATCTCCCTGCGAGGACTGGGCAGCAAGACTTGGGAGGGCTAATAGCATTCTGGGTTAATTGTCCTGCTTCACCGTGGTCTTCCCTACTTCAGGGAAGCTTGTGGGCTGTGCCATCATCCACGTCAATGGAGACAGCCCAGAGGAAGTGGTCCGCGCAACACGACTGGCTTTTGAATACCAGCGTCGATTCCGCAGGGATGTGATTGTTGATTTGTTCTGCTACAGGCAGTGGGGCCACAATGAGCTGGACGAGCCTTTCTTCACCAACCCAGTCATGTACAAAATCATCAGGTACAGTTACGAACCTTCCTTTGACATACCTGCTCTACCCTGGAGTGCCCAAATTATTAATTTTAATAGGCACTCCCAGGTAGGACGACCAACTTCCCCTGTTTGCCTAGGACATGAAACTTTCACTGCTAAAACTGGGACAGCCCTGGGAAAACTGGGATGGTCACCCCATGGGTCCCAGGAGAGCACCCCATGTTCTTCACACTCTACGTGTTTCCTCATTGCACAGAGAAGGGCAACTTAACAACTCAGCAGATGGGAAGGCTGCAGGAGGAGGACTTGGGCAGAGCCTTGCCCAAAACTTATTAGTATGGGATTGGCAGGATCAGAAATAGAACCTCCGTGATTCACTTCCACAAACCACAGATGTAGACCTGCTTTTTGTCTGGGCTAGAGGTAACACAAGGGAGTTCAGTGAATGTTCAGAACTGCACTGTCCAGTATGGAAGCCACTAGCCATAAGCGGCTGTTGAGCACTTGAAATGCAGCTGGTCCTGACTGATGTATTGTAAGGGTGATGAAGACACCAGATTTCTAAGACTTAGTGTGTAAAATATAAACACGCATATGAGATAGCCCGGTAATTTTTATATTGATTAGGTATTGAAATGACAATATTTTGGATATACTGATATAATCAAATATATTATTGAAATTAATTCCACCTGTTTCCTTTTATTTATTTATTTATTTATTTTGGAGGCAGAGTCTCACTCTGTCGTCCTGGCTAGAGTGCAGTGGCTTCAACCCAGCTCAGCTCACTGCAACCTCAAACTCCTGGGCTCAAGTGATTCTCCTGCCTCAGCCTCCCAAGTAGCTGGGACTCTAATTTTTTTCTATTTTTAGTAGAGATGGGAGTCTTGTTCTTGCTCAGGCTGGTCTCAAACTCCTGACCTTGAGCAATCCATCTTCCTCAGCCTCCCAGAGTTCTAGGATTACAGGTGTGAGCCACTGCACCCAGCTCTTTTTACATTTTCTAATGTGACTGCCAGAAATTTTTTAATTACACATGTGTACTGCATTTTATTTTTGTCAGCCAGTGCTGATTCAGAAGGTTAATGTCACACAGTGGGAAAGCATTACTTTGCAATTTCTTTTCTAGATACTAGAAAGTAAAATAGACGCCCCTCCTCCTTTATTTTCTCACAGATATTAACTAAAGCAGAGGAATAAACTTGAGGACATTTTACCAGCTGCCCTAGGAAGAAGTAATCTGCGTTTTCTGCTTAGCTCTGAATTTAGCAGCTGAATGAGTCAGTGAGGCTCAGGGCCCCATTTAAAAAAAATCTATCCTGCTCACCTCTCACTTTTGTCAGGATTAAATATAATATAGGGGAACAGGCTTTCTAGTTTAAAGTACTATGCAAATGTCAAGTGGTACCAGTATTGTTATAATACCCAGGTGCTGGCTATTGTAGTTCAAGGATGGTTAGAGCAACCTGAACCAGATGCCAACAACTTTGGGTTCCATCTTTTTTGAAATGAAGAAGGTGCTGATTGGGTAGACAGTGTGGGTCAGTCTCGGAAATAACTGTCAGTATTTCCCAATTCATAGGAAAATGTTACTATTTCCACCTGGATGTAGACAAAAGCTTATAAATGTGTGTTTTCTCTTGCTTGCCTGGAAGAGGCTGTTACTCGTGAGTGCTTTTAATAATTTATTTAATCCATTGTTATTTATTTATTTTTAATGCCTATCACTTCAAAATATGTTTGTTTTATTAACTTACTGAGGTACCAGTCACATAATGTAAAACTATTTTAAAATGGACAATTCAGTGGCATTTATTACATTCATAATGTTGTGCAGCCACTACTTCTACCTAGTTCCAAAACATTTCCAGAATGCCTTTTTTTTTTTTTGAGACAGACTCTCACTGTGTTGCCCGGGCTAGAGTGAGTGCCGTGGCGTCATCCTAGCTCACAGCAACCTCAAACTCCTGGGCTCAAGCGATCCTCCTGCCTCAGCCTCCCGAGTAGCTGGGACTACAGGCATGCGCCACCATGCCCGGCTAATTTTTTCTATATATTTTTAGTTGTCCAATTAATTTCTTTCTAATTTTAGTAGAGATGGGGTCTCGCTCTTGCTCAGGCTGGTTTCGAACTCCTGAGCTCAAACAATCCGCCCGCCTTGGCCTCCCAGAGAGCTAGCATTACAGGCGTGAGCCACCGCGCCCGGCCCAGAATGCCTTTTTATGGTGATGACACTCCATAATGTCTTTGACAATGACTGTCTCTTGGATTTTTACAGATCACATTGATTTTTTTTTCCCCATCTCTCTTGGACAGAGCCCGAAAAAGCATCCCAGACACATACGCAGAGCACCTTATTGCCAGTGGACTCATGGCCCAGGAGGAGGTGTCTGAAATAAAATCCTCCTACTATGCCAAGTTAAATAACCACTTAAATAACATGGCCCACTATAGCCCCCCTGCCACCAACCTGCAGGCCCACTGGCGGGGCCTGGTTCAGCCGGAAGCGACAATCACCACCTGGAACACAGGTGTGCCCCTCGACCTCCTGCGGTTCATTGGTGCAAAGTCCGTGGAGGTGCCAGAGGAGCTCCAGGTGCACAGTCACCTCTTAAAGATGCATGTTCAGGTGGGGAGCATCGAAATCACCTCTTACTGCTGTTCCTTCTTGCTCAAGGAATTGATGTTGGTCCGGTCTTTTTGGTTGGCTAATTTATTGACAAAGATTTATTGTGTGTCATTAGGTTCTAGGGACTGATCCTAGTGTTGTCTGGTACTGATAGTCAATCAGATTTTCTCAAATTTATTTCTCCTCCATGTATTTACTTATGCATGTTTAATACATTACATGTATGCAGAATACATGCACATTATAAAAAATACAGAAATACAGGAAAGTCTGTTTTGATTTTTCCAACCAGTGAGCAGAAAACACTTTAATTCTTTCAGGTGGCTTAAATAAAAGAAACAAAATGCAACACACATACGCTGAAAGTATCCATGTAGACTCATAAACAATGCTGAAGTTTTACATATTGTCTTATGTTAGATATAGGATGACAAACCATGCTGGTTTGCCTGGGTCTTAGGGGTTTTCTAGAACATGGGACTTTCAGTGCTAACACCAGGAAAGCAAAGAGTTAAAAGTCTTTGTCTTCCTTAAGCTTAGATGAAGGAACTTGGTCCTCTGCATCTTATTTTATTTTTTTATTTTAGTTATTGATTGACAGAGTCTCACTCTGTCGCCCTGGGTAGAGTGCAGTGGCATCATCATAGCTCACTGTAGCCTCTAACTTCTGTGCTCAAGGCATCTTTCTGCCTGAGCCTCTCGAGTAGCTCGCTCTTGCTCAGGCTGGTCTCAAACTCCTTAGCTCAATCAATCCTCCCGCCTCGGCCTCCCAGAGTGCCAGGATTACAGGCATGAGCCACTTCGCCCAGCCCCCTCTGCATTATTTTAAAATGCTAACTTTGTTTTAAAGTTTTTGCAATAGATACAGAACTATTATACAATAAGCTGATACACTGATCACCCAGCGTAAGAAATAGGATATTATAAATCCAGTCCCCACATACACTCCCTAATTCCATTTCTTCAAGCCTCCATGGAAGTATCCACTAACCTGAAGTGCATGTTTGTTTTGCCTGTTTTACAACTGTCTGTAATTGCTATCATACTCTAATGTAGCTGTCTGCACGCTTCGTTTTTATTCAACATTACGTTTTTGATACTTACATCTGTTGCATTAAATTTTTTGAACTCAATGTGATAGAGACTCTTAAAAGTTTCTTTTTTCCTTCCCCTCAATTTTACAGTCTAGGATGGAGAAAATGACAGAGGGGACAAAGTTGGACTGGGCCACAGCTGAAGCTCTTGCCTTGGGCTCCTTACTTGCTCAAGGTGAGAACTTTCTATCTAGCTGTGCAGCGGGTGGAGAATGCTTTCAACGATGTTTGCTACCTGTGACCTCTGTGGTTTTTTGAATTACAGCTACCTCCTGGCGTTTGCATTGGCTAGAGAGGTTCTAGAACATGTTAAGTTAACTTTTCTTACCTGACAGTATTACTTAATCGTAGTACGTCGTGCTGATGACCTTCATCAGAGTATAGACTACAGGACACTTATACTGGCAAGCAAAGGGCTCAGTTCTGGATGTACTGGAAAGATATTTTTCTCTAAAAATTGTAGGGCAAGTGATGACTCTTCATTCTTATACTATCTCACCTTGATTATAGACTTTTGAATCTAGGATAGTAAAGACTTTGTTATCCCAAGGAGAATTCTCAGGATTAATGTGATGTATAAGAATTCACAGTCGTAATGTCTTATTATTCGGTTATTCATGGAAATCTGGATTTTTTTTTTCTTTCTTGCTTGCTCAAGGTTTTAATGTCCGTCTGAGTGGCCAAGACGTTGGCCGTGGAACTTTCAGCCAAAGGCATGCAATGGTGGTTTGCCAGGAGACTGACGACACCTACCTCCCTCTGAACCACATGGACCCTGATCAGAAGGGGTTTCTAGAGGTAGGATGTTACCGCAGCGACTGTAAGATCCAGGTGCCGATGGTGACAGCTCCAGGATTCTTAAAACAACTAGAAACAGATGCCGGCAACTTTGGGTTTGATACTTTTTGAAATAAAGGAGTGATGAGCTGGCAGACGATGTAGGTCTGTAAATTTGGAATGGAAGTAACAGGTTCGAGAACAGCCTGGAGCTTTCTTACTCTGGCGACTTGTGTGTAGCCATGTAAATGTCAAATGGATTTGTGAATTCAAAACGCACGTGATAATCTGCAAATTGCTGTGATTCGTTAAAATTAGTCAAAGATGTGGATAATAAGCCAACGTTTCTTGCCTACTGTAGACAAAAAAAAAAAAAACAACTTGCTTCCTCCAGGTTCCCTTGTTCCCTGAGTGGCTTGAAGCGTACACACGCATAGCCGTGCATCCCGGGTGCTGGTCTCTGTGCTCCTCTCTTTAGTGTCTTCAGGGCCAGGGCCTTTTCCTTTCTGTCTCTCAGCAGTTAGTGTAGGGCCGCGGACATGATGTTTATGAAAATAACTTACTCTTGAAAGTAAGTTTGCAGGCATGTCATCTTCCTGCTCTCGCCATTTGCTGGAAAATATGATCTTGAGTTCACTGATAACCCGATGGAAGATTGAGTTGACAAAGGTCAGATTCCAGGAAGGTTACTTAACGGACATGGAGCTCATCTTTCCTTTAAGTGAGTCTAACATCCACCTCTGGATCAAGTCAGATGGATGAACTAGATATGGAAATGTTTAGTATTCCCCCTACCTCGAAGGAAGCTTTCACGGAATTGTGATTTGATACTGACTATCAGTTTTGAATGCTGCTATTTTAAAAGCCCTGATTAAATGCCTTGTATCTGTTATGAGGACGCTGTGAAAGATTTCACTTATTATCCACCATGTCCTTGATATGAAGACCCTGGGAGAAGCTCCTGCCCAGTGCTGGTATTGAGAGGAGCTGCAGCCTCCTGAGCAGTGGTTTGCTGTCACTGTCTGCACTGAATTGTGCAACTGACCAGCGTTCCCTTGTCAGTCAGTGATGGCTTTTAGGAGGGGAAGGGGCAGAGGCTGTGGCCGCCTCCATGATAAGTGAGGGTACGTCTTTCCCCAAACTCTGTTCTATGTCCCAATCTTTATTTGTCTTCTTTCCCTCCACTTAAAATGTATACTCTCATGTACATTATATACATTTGTAACTTACTTTTTGCATGCTTTTTGGAATAAAAACATTAAAAGATTCAATAAAATAAGGTATTTATGTGTACACAGGTATACAAAGTACAACAGGTACAAAGCAGAAGGGGCAGCTGCATCGGCCTGGGGAAGGCAGGGAGTGCTTGGGAGAAGAAGCCAACTCTGAGCTTGGACTTGAAGGATGTTAGGGGTTGTCTAGTCTAATAAATGCGGGATGAACGTGTGAGGGGGACACAGGGCACATATAAAATCTGTGAAGTGAGGGAACCCAACATGCTCAGGGAACTACAGATAGCTTCACTGGACTGGAGTTTAAGCAACCAGCTCTCATGGGAACCCAGGGAGCAAGAACTCATCCCACCGCCCACCCCCAGGGAGCACATCGATCTTTTCAGAAGGGATCTGCCCCCATGGCCCAAACACTTCCCATTAGGCCCCACCTCCAACACCTGGAATCAAATTTCAGCATGAGGTCTGGAGGGTTCAAACAAACCATATTCAAATATGGCAGACTCCTTTCTGAAGTGGTGAGGAATGAAAGCAAAGCTTCCCTCTGCACTCCTCCTCCCTTGGAGAGGTTTGTAGAGACGTGATCGCTCTGTCTTTGCAGGCTCTCGTCAGATGTCCTCCCCTTCCATGACAGCGTTTGGTTCTCTTCCTTGGGATTAGGTCAGCAACAGCCCCCTGTCGGAAGAGGCCGTGCTGGGATTTGAATACGGAATGAGCATTGAAAGCCCAAAGTTGCTGCCCCTCTGGGAGGCTCAGTTTGGTGATTTCTTCAATGGCGCCCAGATCATCTTTGACACGTTCATCTCTGGAGGTTGGTGTTAGTGCGTGGGTGGGTAATGGACGCACAGCGCCAGCCTCACGGGGACACACGAATGAAAAGGGGCCACTACTGCTTATGATGCTCCTGTGTGCTGTGGCCCCTCCAGGCAGTTGGGGATCACCCTGTTACCCACTGAGGCCTGGCAGCTGTCAGACAGTTTAATGAGCTCCTGGGAAGAGCATCTCAGTTCTCTGTCAGCAGGAGGGTGGGTGCCTCTCAGCGACTATGCTCTGCAGTCAGTGGGGGGTCTTGAAAACCTGTTCCCCTTGATCCATGCACATTCAAGCATTACAAAGCAGTACCTGCTTCCTGTAAAAACTTGGAATCTATGAAGTCAAAGTCTAAGTCTCTCCCCAGACCCTCAATCCCATTTGCTGGAGGTGCCCACTATTAGGTTTTGAATATATATGCCTCAAATCTTTTTACTGTAGTTGTGTTTTTCTGTAACATTTTTGTTGTGAAGAAGTGAAGTCCCAGAGGAGACTGGACTTTTGACATGTCCAAAGACTGTTCTACAGCGTCCACTGCCATCTCTTTGAGGACAGTGGCCTGTGTTGTCAGCTGGGCTCTGAGGAAGGTGGGAGCCGCCCATTCTTCTCAGAGCTGTGCCTGCGATGGAATCACAGTGGCATGTGCTGGCCAGGAAGCCGGGCATTCACCTTGGAGTTTGTTTCCACTTGCTAAAGCCCAGGACATGCGCCATTGTAGGTTTTCACCCAGCCAGATGGATGTTTTCCCCCAAGTATGGTGTAGGAGTGCTAGAAAGTACACGCAGGGAAAACAGTTTTGGGGGGCTGGCAGCAGACGGACATTGGTTTAACCATCCGAGTCACATCAACTGTTTTGTTCCCGTGTCACAGAGTTCTCACTCCTCACATCCTGCTTTTCCAGGAGAGGCCAAGTGGCTCCTACAGAGTGGCATCGTCATTCTCCTCCCACACGGCTACGACGGGGCGGGACCGGACCACTCATCTTGTCGCATAGAGCGTTTCTTGCAGGTATGTTGAATGCCTTCTAGAATCTGAGAAACATTGTCTTGCTTCCCAGGCGATAGCTTCATGCCCACCTTAAACTGTAAGACATTGTAGGATTTGAATGAGACAGATTCGATGCAATGTCAGTATTCCTTGGAAACACAATTGCTTCCCGTGTCACGGTTTTATGGCGATTAAAGCGGTTCCTGTGTGGACAGGCTCCATGGTTCTCATACCAGGCTGCGCATTATAATCCCTGAGGGACTTTATTTTTTATTTATTTATTTTTGTTTTGTTTTGTTTTTTTGAGGCAGAGTCTCGCTCTGTTGTGTCAGCCTAGCTCAATGCACCCTCAAACTCTTAGGCTCAAGTGATCCTCCTGACTCAGCCTCCTGAGTGAGTAGCTGGGACTACAGGCATGCACCACCACGCCCCATTAATTTTTTCTATTTTTAGTAGAGACGGGGTCTCACTCTTGCTCAGGCTCGTCTTGAACTCCTGAGCTCAAGCAATCCTCCTGCCTCGGCCTCCCAGAGTGCTAGGATTACAGGCATGAGCCACTGCACCCAGCCTGTATTTTTACTTTAAAAAAGTATTTTTTTCAAGTAATGGTAGTATTTTTATTAAATGATTCGTGGTCATCAAAACATTGTAAATATCCTCCCAGAAACAGCCACTGTTATCATTTGGTAAGAATCATTACAAATGTCTCTTAATATTATTCCCTTATAGTTAGTTTATCATGAAAACTTTCAACTATACAGAAAAGTTAAACAAAAATTTGCAGTGAACATTCATTTACTGACCTCATAGAATCCACTATTAATATTTTGTTATATTTGTTTTATCACATATCTATTCATCCATCATTCCTTTATCCAGCCATCCATCCTATTTTTTGATCCATTTCAAAGTAAATAGAGATACCAGTACATATCACCCTAACACTTCAACATGCATTTCATTAATGATTTTGGCATATAGGCAGATAAAATGTATAAATAGAGGATAGATTAGTAGGTAGATAGAACAATAGATATATGGATAGTTATATTGGTAAATATGACACAAAAATAAATTTATAAAAATGAGATTACGGGGGCTGGGCGAGGTGGCTCACGCCTGTAATAACAACACTTTGGGAGGTCAAAGTGGTGGGAGGATCGCTTGGGGCCAAGAGTTTGAGACCAGCCTGGGCAACATAGTGAGACCCCATATCTACAAAAAATAAAAAAATTAGGCAGGCGTGGTCAACTGTGCCTGTAGTCCCAGCTACTTGGGAGGCGGAGGTAGGAGCATTTCTTGAGCCCAGGAGTTTGAGGTTGCAGTGAGCTATGATGATGCCGCTGCACTCCAGCCTGGGCGACAAAGTGAGACCCTGTCTCAAAAAAAAAAAGTGTGATATATGAAATTTCCAGGTATACAGAGATGAATTAGGGGTTGGAGCAGCAGTTGGGTATGGGCTACAGTTTTTGGAGTCTGAGGCCGGCAGTGGGCAGGAAAACTTCTGGGCTGAGGGGTCTTCTTGCCAAATTCTGCTCTCTCTTCTGAGATTCAGTAACTAACTCCGTCCAAGGGCCCACTCCCCTCAGTCAGGGTGTGTGTCACTCCCAGGCACTTCCGTTGGTGCCTGGAAGAGGCGCCATTGAGCTGTGTAGGGGCTTCTACTCTAGATTTTGCCCGTGTTTTTCACCAGGAGTGCCTGTTCACTTCCCCTCTCCAAGATGGGGGTATTAGTAAGAATTGTCAGGATTTTGTCAACTCACTTTCCTTCCATTGCTTCCGGAGTAGGGTTATGCCTCAGCTTTCTGTTCGACCGGGACCTTCTGAGATTTAGCTTTCCTTTTTAAATCCTAACCACTAGACTCTGTGGGACTGAGATTTAGTTTCCTTGCTCTCAACTTTTCAGCCTTGTTTGTTAGCTGCTTTTGATTTTGTTTTTGTCTCAAAACACAGACAAACTACAATTTTTTTTAATTTCATTTTCATTAGGAGAGTGAGATTCTGACAGTGCTTCCTCCCACCATCTTAACCCCACAAGAATGAGAATCTGTACTTTGAAGAGTCTGTTTCCAGATAATTCTTGCAGTCAGCTGTGTTAGGTGACACAGATCGGGTCAATGGCGAACTCCCCCTTCGGTTAACACTTTGCAGTTCATAAATTTGCCTTCTAGTATTTTTCTATGGTGGAGAGAAATGTCTTTTACTAATCCAGGACGCTCGCGTTTCCCTTTGGCTAGCCCGCTGTCACTGTGACTGAGGTAGATGATCTTCCCGTCTCCCTCCCAGATGTGCGACAGCAGAGAGGAGGGGGTGGACGGAGACACCGTGAACATGTTCGTGGCTCACCCCACCACTCCCGCGCAGTATTTCCACTTGCTCAGAAGACAGATGGTCCGGAGCTTCAGGAAACCCCTCATTGTCGCTTCTCCCAAGATGTTACTCAGGCTCCCTGTAAGTGGAAAAAGCTGGCTTGTCACCCTTTCTCCTCCTGTCATTCTTTGTACTCCATTTTTCTCTGTTTTCTCTCTCCAATTATATTTCCAAATTACAGAAACATCTTCAGAGTTTTAATTGACTTTGCCGCTTCCTTTTTTTTTTTTTAACCTTTTAATACTACCTGGAAATATGGGTAGCTTTTTGTTTCCATTGTAATGAAAGTCAGGGATAGCAGATATTATCACACTGGTATCCTGGCCTGAGCAGAAATAACATTTTAGAAAAAGTTTTAAAGTCCAAATAGTCAAAATATGTTGGCAGTAGCAAGTTGGGGAATTTAAAATATTTTGATGAAAATAAATGGTATTATTTATGGTCCTTTATTAAGATTTTTTCCATTAAATGATGTATCACAGGTAGACTCCTGTTTCAATAAACATAAATATTGGAACAATACAGCTTATTGCTACAGTTCTTATCAAGGGCACATTTCCTCTTGGTTTACTTAAGTGTTAAGCACACATGTATTTTCAAATCACAGAAGTATGCTAGTTCTCAAGCAGAAGTGTTCAAGATAATTAGTACTACTGAGCATCTATTTATCCCATCTGCTACGATTATTTTCAGGTTCATATGAGAGTTTTAATTAGGACTGGCATTAAAAAATTTCCACGTAGTTGGCTGCAACTGCTGAGATGAAGTAAGACATTGAGAATTTGGCGGTTCAAGAATATCTTGTGCTGCTTCCAGAGGTTTTAGAGTCTGTCTCTGGGAGTGAAGAAAGCTGCAGGTGGTTTTGCTGCCACCTGTTGTTGTTTTAAGCGGTTCCTCGCATTCGGAGGGGTGTAGGGAAGGACCCATTCTCAGGGCCAGCGCTTTCATGGCCCTGAGTCAGTGCCTCCTTAGACTTTGTACTGTAGGTGCCTACTTGACTCATCCTATCCCCAGCCGTAGTCAATATCCAGTCAACATCCAGGACTTCCCATGGTCTGCACGGTGGCAGTGGTCCATTTGTGGCGGTCTCCCGATTCTCTCTCACCAGCGTTTCTGCGAACAACCTTATGCATTTGGAGGTGGCCTCATGAGTCTTTGCAACAAGTATTCATTTAAATTGAGCTAGTTAATCCAATTTCTTTTCATCATAGAAATAAATACGTATTTCCCTAGTTGTACTCACTGAATGGGTTTCATGTATAAATGACAGTCAAAAAAAAAAAATAAAACAGAAATAATTGCCTTGGCTTAGCTGTTTCGGTTTACAATATAAATTCTATAAAATGTTTCTAATTCCAAGAAATTGAAGCATATTTCTTTTTCTTTTTTTGCTTTCTACCTAATATTTACCAAGATAGAAGCATATTTTTTATTGATAATAAAGTTGGGTGATCAAACTGAAATTTTATGATTCTTAAAATTTTGTGGCACCCCACAAAAGGGAATCTTATGTGACCTCAGAAACATAATTTCACTCTGAAGTATACAGAACTGATATGTTTTGGAGAGACACTGTGTTTATTAGCACACATATTTATGTGCAGGGTGAGGCTAGAATTCTGACTCTCTTTTGGTGATGACCCCTCATTAGTAGGAGCATCAGCTCTTTCCCACTGTTGCTAGATGTGTGGCTTCTTCTCCCTTTAGGCGGCTGTGTCAGCTCTTCAGGAAATGGCACCAGGAACAACGTTCAAGCCGGTCATCGGTGATTCATCCGTGGATCCAAAAAAGTAACGTGACGTGAATCCTCTGCCTTCACACTCTGTGGCAGAAATTTAATTGGCGGGAAAATTAGTTCACATTCAGGAATCCAAAGTGACCGGAATCTCCTTTCTCCGGACAGAAGTCCTTTAAGTCGGTGGCATGGGAGCTAGAGTGTGCGTGGAACAGTGAACGTCAGAGGCGTGTGTCACTAAAGAAGGGTCGCCAGGGCATAGCGTGTGACCAAACCCAGCCCCAGAGCCCCTCACTGCTTCCTTAGCGAGGCCTTTCAATCTGATTGTCTCCTCTTTCTTCTGATACAATTCTTACTCTACTGATTTCTCCCCTACCCCATCACCCCCTTTCTCCCCGACAGCGTTAAGACCCTTGTATTCTGCTCTGGCAAACACTTCTACGCTCTGGCAAAGCAGAGGGAATCCCTGGGGGCCAAGAAGCACGACTTTGCCATCATCCGAATAGAGGAACTCTGCCCTTTCCCACTGGATTCTTTACAGCAAGAGATGAGCAAGTACAAACACGTTAAAGGTAAGGCCTTGTCCTCGTTAGGGTCCTCTGGTTTTCAGACACCCGAAACCCACTCAGACTCTTTCAGATGAGAAGACGTGGTGGGGCCATGGGAGATACTAGAAAATTAAATCTCATGGAACCTGAGGATATGACAAAAAGTACGACCACAGCCAGTGTCTCCACGCCTCTCTTGGCGTCCCCAGTCTGATATTCTTTCATCTAAAACCACTGATTTCCTGAGAGTTTGGGGAGTTTTCATGCCGTACCATCATTTATGAGAAATACAGTATAATTCTAAAAGACAAGCCTTTCAACAAATGGGGCTGGAGGCTGGAATACTGGATGCCTATATGCACTTTATACAGAAATTAACTCAAAATTGATTATAAACCTAAATGTAAAATGTAAAACTATAAAGCTTCTAGGAGAAAACAGGAGAAAAATCTCTGTGATCTTAGGCACAAAGTTCTTAGATATGACACGAAAAGCACATTCCATTAAAGAAAAGTTGGACTTTATCAAAATGAAAAACTTTTGCACTGTGAAAGGCATTGTAAAGAAAATAAAAAGAAAAGCCACAAACTGGGAGAACATATTTGCAAATACGTATGTGACAAAGGACTATCTAGAATATTTAAAAAACTCTCAAAACTCAACAGTAAGGCTGGGCATGGTGGCACGAATGTAGTCCCAGCCTACTTGGGAGGCTGAGGCGAGAGGATCACTTGAGCCCAGGAGTTCAAGGCTGCAGTGAGCTATGATGACACCACTGCACTCCAGACAGCGCTACGGAGCGAGACCCTGCCTCTGAAAAACCAAACCAAACAACAAACTGATGATATCAACTGCCGATGAGGATGCAGAGCAACTGGAAGGAACCCTCACACAAAGCCCATTTTATCATAGTGTTGAATATCTCATATAATTTATTGATCACTGTACTGAAAGTGAAAAATTGAAATGGTTGTACGGGTACTCAAAGTATGGTTTCTACTGAATGAGTGGCACTTTCTCACCACCAGAAAAGTCAAAAAATTGTAGGTTGAACCATCTGAGATTGGGGACAGTCTGTATATGTTTACTGAATATATAAACTGAAATGAATGTCTTCTTTTATAGATCTTATCTGGAGTCAGGAGGAACCTCAGAACATGGGTCCATGGTCTTTTGTTTCTCCAAGGTTTGAAAAGCAACTGGCCTGTAAGGTAATAGCTCTTTCTCTCTTGTGTGTTGTCTGTGTGTGTGTGTGTGTGTGGTTTCTCCTGAAGTGCCAAAAATGGGTTTATCCCCTATTATCAGTCTAATTCTTTAAAGATAAACTATAATTAAAAATCTAGTTTTAGGCTGTTCCTTCAGAAGAAAATACTGAGTGTTTATGGAACTGTGTATGTGTACATGTCAGTATCACATTTAAAAAAAGGGTTTATGCCTAAAAAAAGTAAAAGCTGGCTGGGCAAGGTGACTCATGCTTGTAGTCCCAGCATTTTCGGAGGCTGAGGAGGGAGGATTGCTTGAGGCCAGGAGTTGGAGACCAGCCTGAGCAAGAGTGAGGCCCTATCTCTACAAAAAATGAAATAAAATAATTATCTAGGTGTAGTGGTATGCGTCTATAGTTTAAGCTACTAGAGAGGCTGAGGCAGGTGGATTGCTTGAGCCCAGGAGTCTGAGGTTATAGTGAGCTATGGTCATACCACAGCACTCCAACCTGGATGACAAAGTGAGACCCTGTCTCTAAAGAAACAAAAAGGTAAAACCAATGAGAAGAGCAATTGGACTTGTGTTTATCTCCCTATTCCACTTTGATTAAAACGCAGTTCACTCATTTGATACTAGTTTGCTAGGCTCAAATCATTTTTACATGTAAATAGTTCTAATTAAGTAAATTCTACAGCTAAAACCAACTGATAGTTACTTACAAATAGGACAAATTCAAGAACTTGTCTCACCTTATCATGCCTGGAATTGAGTTAGTTGTTAGTGGTGACATATATTTCCCTCCAACCTATTCTGTGTAACTTATTTTTCCAGAGGTGATTTATGGTTAAGCTAAGAGAAGCGCATGCCCCTTCCTGATGAAACTAAGCTCTGATCTGGTCAAAATGTCATTTTGTTTCTTCTCTGCTGTAATGACAGCTCCGCCTCGTGAGCCGTCCCCCGTTGCCGGTACCCGCAGTGGGAATTGGCACAGTTCACCTGCAGCAGCATGAAGATGTCCTCACCAAGACCTTTGTTTGATGACAACTCTTGGAGAAATACTACTTCCTTTTAGGAAAACTATCATAAAACGAAAGGCCCGTTTCTTCTATTCTTTTCCTTTCCATTGCATAACATGAAAAGACTGTCTTCCTCTAAGACATTGGGATGGATGCGAACAATTTAATCTAGATTAGTTCAAATAATCAGGAGAATAGGTTATAAATACAAAAATGCAACCAGGAAATTTATCCTTGAAATTTCAGTAGTGTTATGGTTCGATTAGATCTGAGCGAGACGGAGAACTAGGTCATTATCTAGATGATTTCAGACTCTAAGGAACCATACATGACTAGGAAAAGTTCTTTAGCCTGAATTTACAGCTACATGGAGATGACCTCAAGGCTGCCTCTTGATTGGTTTGGTGCATGTCACTTTCATTAATTTTTCCCCTCTTTCAAAGTCCTGAGATTAATGATATTGTATTCCATGTCATCTCTGGTGCTGCTTTCCAGCCACTGTACAAAATGTTTCACCAAACACTAGGAAAACTAGATTATGATCATTCCTGGTTTGTGTTGTTCAAGATAATAGTTTTACCCTGAAATCTAGGTGCTATTAAATACAAATCTCTGGGTGTCTGATCTTCTAGCACTGTATTTAGCTATAATGAAATTAATTTGTGATCTATTTTGCCATAATCTCTCTCTCTCTCTTTTCCAAATGGTTCTTGCAGTGGTATCTTAATGGTGTTTAACCAATTTGGGTGTCTGACATGGGGATTTCAGCCTTTGGTTAATCAGTCTTGCCTCTACCAATTACTCTACCAGTCCCTGCTACAGTATGATGTTTGTTTATGGTACTTAAAGAGCACCTTAACAGAGGGTCCTTCCCAATGCCAGGTGCTTAGGGATTTCTTAGAGGTCACCCACCAACTTCCTCAGTCTGAAATTAAACCTAGTACTGGAAACATCGCTAAACAGCTAACTATGCAGCCCCGCTTTACTCAGTGCTGCGGAACGGAGCCTCTACCATCTACCATTCTCGTGCCATTACACCACTTTTCCCAGAAGTGCCGGGGGAGTGAACTGGAACAAGCCCAGGCCCTCTCCAGTTTTTCCAGCAACTGATCGAGTCCTTCAGAATCCCTGTTAATACGGGTTGTTCTGGTCACAGCAGATTTACGACTCACATCTTCAATGTACGCTTTAGTGTCCTGATTTAACATTTCTGTAGCACTCACATCCCTTTTCTTCCTATGTACCTCAACACGTCCTTCCTCTGTGTCAAACCTTATAAATCATGTAATTTAGCGCCACTCACGTAAATCAGGATGATTACAAAGGTCTATTTAATGAGAAAAGTTACCAACGTTGTATATTTAACTAGAAAAAAATAAAAGCACAATGTTATTTTTTTCTCAGGTCTCTTGGTTTCTTGAATCAAAAGCCTAAGCACAAAATGAGATGGAAGATTAGGTCTTTTTTTTTTTTTTTTTAAGTTTAGATCTCTCCAAATTTCTCTCGAAAGTTACACCTCACAAGTCTATGATTTCTTGGTACATATTCTCTAACTTGAGCCATGAAATGTGTCTTCTGTCATCTTAGCTTTCTTACTCTCAGT